TACCGAACCATGTAATTATACCATGCTGCCGACCAAATGTAAACGAAGAACCGTTCAAGTTTCTGATAAAACTTGATTAGTCGTAATATTTTATCGAAAATATTAAAAAAAAAAAAAAAAAGAAAAATAACAAACCAAAAGATTAAAAAAAGGAAAATTAAAAGCAAGAATAATATAACCAATTCAAATTTTCATTTCGTATATTCATTTATTTTATAATAACAATTATTTTCAATCATATTTATAAACATTGACGAAGATATTAGAATAATATAAATGAACCACAATTTACATGTATTATTAATTCCAGTGATAAATTACTCGGAATTTTTGTTTAAATCGAAAGGAACATAAATTGTTGTTAGGAAATGTTTGTAATATATTTTATTACATAAGACAATAAAAATTGTTTACATTTTATACGTAATAAAAATAGGTATGTTTTAAACGAAGGACAACTATTAAGATACCTTGCATATATACATATAGATAACATACTTTATATGTATCATAGTTTTTACTAACTACAACCAAACTTTTTTTTAAAAATTTCAACAATTTAATAACAAATTTTCCATTGATAATTAATTAAAAAAAAATTTCACACAAGTATTTTAATTATTCACAAAATTATAATTAATATAATAATAATTAACTAGGGGTGCCTCGTCACGCGTTGCTGTGACTCACAATCAGTCCGATACATAAATACAAACAATAAAATAATATTGCGATTATAAATTGAGATTATAAATTCATCCTATCTTTCAAGTTGAATGAAATTGCACACAGTGTGGAAAATTTGATTAAAAATTGTTCAGTAGTTTAGGAGTCCATTGCGGACAAACAACGTGACACGTAATTTATATATATTTAAGAAGAAGATAAATGTTTCAAAATTAATTATAATTATAATATAATAAACTATAAATGTAATATTAATAAATCTGTGATGCACACATACACACACACACATATGTGTGAATTTCTCAATACATTCACATGTGAATGAAAACATTCAATACATTTCGTAGAATGCACCAACAACAACCAATGCAATTTCGTCGAAACGTTGTACAATTAAAAATACAATTCCAATTACTAGCAGAATGAAAAGAAGTGGTAGGAGGTGGTTGAGGAGGAGGTGGTGGAGGTTTAGAAAAAAGTAAAACAAGGTAAATAAAAGTGTCGGTAAAAGTGTCTCGGTGGATCGTAAAATGGTCAAAAATCATGGTCGGTAGGCATGACACATTAATCTCGTGAAAGTTTATTGGGTGCTGTCAGTTTCGATCGTTCATCAAAGTATAGTGATTCAATCTGAGAGTCTGATTGTGAGTTTTAAATCCCTCTTCTCCTTCCCCTTGCCCTTACCCTTTTTTTTTTGTCGTGTGACACATACAAAACGAAAGAAAGAAGAAATACAATTGCATACACACATGTAGATGTTGTACATTCATACATACTCATGAAATTACGTTTGATAAATGTTATACAGCTTAACAAAAACACACACACACATATATATATATACACACTCAACACATACCATGACAAATAACACCATAAAAAATAAATAAGATAAATTCGACCGATTGAAGTTGTTTATTCTGACCTTGCAATCGATAGAACAAAATAAATGAATTATCCGTTAATTAAAAAGAAATTCAACGTGTTTAATCGAATCATTTGTGTTGGTAGCTTTAATTCACCGACCGGATCCGATAAAACGAGTGCAGTAACAGATCAGACGTCTTCTTTTCATCCCCCACCCTTCTTTTATCATTTATCTTCCATCCATTATTCTCTGAGGTGAGGAGAATTTTTTTATTCTTACTTTTATTCAAATAATAAATGAAATTATGGTTTCGTGATGATAAGTCACAACAAAAATCCTAATCAAATAATAATAATAATAATAATAGGATTTCTCTGTATTTGAACGAACAATTTATGTATTACACACACACACACACACATTATAGGCTCAATCTAATCGTTTCATTCGTGAAATAGTATCATTGTTCATTTACGAACCAGTAAAACCGATAGCAAGTTACCAACTCGTAAACAATTACACGACCGTGAGAATGAATCGTTCAAAAGAGAGAGAGGGAGAGAGAGAGAGAGGGAGAGAAACAAGGTAGAAGAGTAGAAAAGAGAGAGAGGGGAAGTTGTTGTTTCATATCGATAGAAAATTTCTAACAAGTTTTCTCTATTTTAACGATTATTATAAGTTACTATATCTAGAAACCTTGTTAGATTAGGATCCACAATAAATATATATATAAGTGGGGGAAAGAGATTTGTAATGTATTAATTAGTATAATTATTAAACCTTATTGATGATTAGAAAATAAAATTAGAAATGATTTTCTATTATTAGATATTTGTTATCTTATCATTTAGATATGAAGGTTGAACATTAATTTCAAGATAATAATGCAATTTATTCTATTACGTATCATCTCATTTCTATTATACAATTCTAGAAACACACAAACAAACAGACAGACAGACACATGTGTGTAAAAGGGGGAAGAGAAGATAGAAGGTTTAGATGAAGGGTTGGGTTGGGATTCAAGTTGAGAGAAAATTCGAGAGGCAATATTGAAAACAACAAGGTACACATCATCATCATCATCATCATCGTTGAACCTACGTGTAGTACCTACACATTTGCTAATACCAAAACACGGTGGAGAACATTAACATCAAAGAACAGACACAGTAGGAGAATGAGTAGGAGAGAAAGATTGGATGAAGGGGGGGGTGGTGGTAGGGTGAGCGGTAGGTTAAGGGTAGATAGAGGTTGGTTCAAGAGAGTGTGGGTGAAGTTGTGAGTTGAAGGATTGTGAGAATAGGATACAATGAAACTAACAAACGTTTGCAAGTCAAACGGTGCTTTTCATTATGGGGGGTAGTAGTAGGGGCTGCTGAGGGTTGAAAGGGGGAAAAGGGGGTTACATTTAAAGCTCTTCTAACTCAACATTATCCTAAATGCAACCACAATAATACAAACACTGCTTTACTTATTTTCTTTTTTTTATACTCGTTTGTGTGAATAATAAAATTTGTTTCGTATTTTGAGTTAATACGATTGATTGATTTGTTTAAATTAATTGATGAGTATAATTTGTCGAGACGTTGATTTTGTATTGTATGAAAAATGTCAAAAAAAGATATGCGGATTGCGGAATGCGGTGCGGTGCGGTGCGGTGCGGTGCGGTGCGGTGCGGTGCAATGCGGAACTCGAGTCAAAAACCGAGAATAGGAAAAATTGTATAGCCATATTCTGTCTCATTCTCTCGCAGGCTCAATCCTACATGTTTGTCTATTTTTCTCTTCTTACTAAATATCGTGGCCGTTACACTGCCACTACACTGTTACATCGCCGCCTACCGCTCCGTTTCATCAGCGCCCACCACTGCGTTACATCGGCGCCTACCGCTGCGTTTCATCGGCGCCTACCGCTCCCTTGCATTTTTTCCAAATCACACTCATTCTAAAGAAATGTTCATTTTAAAAAGTATGATAAGCATCTTTTGCAAATCGTTTTAATATCGTATCTTATCGATTCAGACAAATCGCAGTACCAGCAATTTATATTTTTATCACGTAACACACACACATACACAGACACAGCAGTGTTCTTATCAACAACAACACAGCACGTGCGAGTAACTTTAAATTACAGCTAATAACGATAAAAACAACAAGATATATATATATATATAAGAAGACAAACAAATGTGGGGGAGGGAGGGAGGGAGGTAGGAGGGGGATTTTTCAAAGAAATTCAATTAAAAAAAAAAAAAAGGAAAAAGAAACTATGAAATAAACAACAATATTAAATGAAAAGAAATAAATAATAATAAAAATAATATATATGAATTAGTTGTAAAATGACGAATAATATTAGTCATAGCAATCTAATTGGATATCTTATCGTCAATTTCAATGCTAACTGTTTTGATGCACCAAAGACGTTATATAACTATCTGATAATGATAATAATTTTTTAATTAGTTAGTTACTTTCATTAACACGTTTCCTCCTTACCAAGCATAGTCCTTTTTATTTGGTTCGTCATTCAGGTTATTTAAATTTGTTTGAAGAAAATCAATCAATCAATATTTAATATTATTTGTTATCAGTGATATTCCCTTTTTATTATTTATGATAATATTTTTTTAAATTAATACACAAACAACAAATCCAAATGAAATGAAATCAAATGAAAATTGAATGATTTCTAATATCATCATCGCAATATTTGAAACACAATTTACATTTAATTAACAAATCCGAAAATAATAAATTTAATCAACAAATTAACAAATCAAATTTTTCATTTACAGAAAATAAAAGGAGGGGAGTCATATATAAAGGTGGATGAAGAAAGAAGAAGAAGAAGAAAAAAAGACCAAATTAAAGCAATTCCTCGTCATCYGATTTGTTTGTTTGAATCTTCCGTTTTCAACCCTTACTTTTTGTTAAACTTTGAAACAACCATTGGAAATCAAACAACAACCACAACCACAACAACAACGGGGGGGATCTTTTTTACTCTGTCATGTGTTAGTTGTTGATGAGTGTGAGATACTACTCGTGAAGAATATTATTATCAAGTGTCAAGGAAGAATAATATGGGTCCTGTTATAGTAGTGGTAACAACACACACCGACAAGGAGAAATTGGTTAATCGAATAAACGGCAATTAGTGGGAATCCGTCGTATTTAACGACGCACGAACGAATTCTTGATGGGAGGACGTAGAAGAAGACGAAAATTAACAACTATTGATAAATTAATAGCAACAATAGTTATTTGTTTTATTATTATTTCAACGAATTTGTTGAAAAACACATTGGTCAACAATATTAATGATGATCAAAACAACAAATCAATGAACACCATCGTCTTATTTTCATCGTCATCGTCATCTTCATTTTCATCGTCACGAAATTTTGATGGATTTCAAATGATTTCAAATTACAACAAATTGTCCAAATTATTTAATGAAGTATCATCATCATCATCATCATTAATATTATTATTATTATTAAGAGATAAACAATAAACTTGAGAAAAGGATTGGACAAAGTTTGGCAGTGAAAAATTTGGAAGAAAACAACAACAAAAAAAAGGGGGAGGAAGAAAAAATGTATTTCTCAAGACGCATGCGCAGAATGGAGATACACGAGGAGTTAAACAGAAATAGCAGTAGTAGTAATAGTAGTAGTAGTAGTAGTAGTAGTAGTAGTAGTAGCAGGAAGTCAACTAGGAGTACAACAAGAAGCATCAGTAGTACACTTGACGATCAGCAATCAACAACAGCAAACTTCTGTTGTCCAAGTGGTGGTTATTGTTTTTGTTGTTGTTGTTGTCGTTGTTCGAACGGTGTTACGATGAATAATAAGGAATGTAAAATGAATAATATGGAAGAACATGAAAATAAGGATGACTGTATTATTAATAATAATAATAATCATCATCAATTTGCAACGAGAACTTGTGTACTTTGTGAAAGGTTGCATGGATCTTCATTGAATTCGTCTGATCATCGTTTTGATGAAATTGATACGAATTATTATAATAATTCATCGTCAACATCTTCATCTTCATCGTCATCAACGTCAACGTCAACGTCATCGTCAACGTCATCGTCTCCGAAATATTGTCGTTCGTTTTATGAAGTATCATCGAAGAGTATTAGAAGAAAAGATGACAAAGATAAATGGATTACAAGAGAAAATAATTATTCGTCTATGCAAAATCGTGGAGAAAATTCAAGATACGCTTCTAGTGTTGTACGGTGGAAAAATTTGTGTTATTGGAGATTAGCGTTCAGTATTGCCCTATTCCTTGCATTAACTTTCCCGCCTAACGCTGTCGCAAGTTTGCAAAGAAAACATTCGGTTGGGTACTCCAAAAAAGACGGGGGTGAGTAACAACTCTTTATTTCATATTTTTTATTTTTTTTTTTATTTTTTTATTAATATAATTGTATGAATTTTATATAAAATTCCCCTGGGTATATTGTAAACCTATTAGCTATTTTTATTTTTTATTTTTTAAATTATTATTTAAAGAGTTTGTGTACTCCAAAAAAGATGGAGATGAGTACAACTCTTTATTTCACATTGTATTTCTTTTCTATTTTTTTCTTTTTTTTTTTTTTAATTATATAAACATATGGATTTTTTATATAAAATTCCTTTGATTATTTGTTAAACCTATCAGCTATTTTTATTTTTTATTATTTCATTATTTTATTTAAATAATTATTTAAAGGGTTTGCAAAAGTTTGACAAAGTTCGACACATAAAACAAATTTTATTTTTCTATCATACTCATAATTAATATAAAAAAAAAACAAACAAACAAATATCGCACATGCATAATTTTCTTTTATTTAAAAAGAAAAAGTTGTTCTATCTTATAAATAATAAATGCAAAAAAAAGAAAAGAAAATTGATTCTTGGATTAGTTATAGTTTGAATGACATTTAAATCGAAATAAACACGTGGTTTTAAAACTACGTTTGAAACAGTAGTAGTCGCCACGTGCCAATTTGATTATTTATCGAATTTGAATAAATCTTTGGGCATTTTTTTTATTTTTTTTTTAATAAACTCATTCATCATTTAAATTATCATTGAAAAAATATTTCTCTGTGAAGAATATTACGACCGGTGATCTTGTCAGAAATAAATCAAAATCAAATTTAATTACTCAAAACAACCTTATGAATATTTAAAATACGCACTTCACGCATTTCGTGTTATTTATTTTTTAAAATAAAAAAAAAAAAATAAAAAAGAGAAAAGAAAGAAAGTAAGAAAGAAAGAAATGATTTCAACGATGAAGATGAAATAAAATATATTTTAGAAAAAAAAASAAACAAACAAATAACAATTTTTCAAGTAGCCATTTTACATATCGTAAAATCATATTTTTGTTTATGTAGTTTTTTTATATTATTATTATATAATAATAATAATTCGTTAAATTATTATTAAGTTATTATTAAATTATTAACAATAATAATAATAACAATAGTTGTATTTCTTTTTATGTAATTTTTTTGGGTAGATGATAGTTATTATTAATAATAATTATTATTAATTATTATTAAGTTATTATTAAATTATTATATAATACTAATAATAATAATAATAATAATAGTTGTATTTCTTTTTTTTTTTTTAATTTTTTTGGGTAGAAGATGATACAGTTTGCGGATTTTGGACAAAGATATGAAATAATATTTGCCTTAATTGTCCATTACCGTTAAACTATTTAACAAATTATATATTTAATTAAATAATTAATTTATTATTATTATTTTTCTTTTGTTTATAATAAAAACACACACACACTCACACACATTCGAGGATACATTTTTGTAACATTTGCTTCTAGTACAAATTGTATTCCTTGAAATTCTAAATGTAATTTAAAACAAAAAAAACATTATTCTATTATATTTTGTTTCTTTAATCGCAAAACAAAATTCATTTTGATATACACAAATAAAGAAATACATTGAGACGAAATTAAACAGAATAAGAAAGAAAGAAAGGAATAAAAAGAAGAAGAAGAAGAAGAAGAAGTGACATGTAGATAGAAATATCATACGATATGACGAGGTTTAGGCCGACATATTATATCATTGATTTGACAAAACGATCTCATCCGGTTAACGAAATAATACAACTCGGAAGTTGAAGATTTCTCAACATCTATAGATCTTATCTGAACAACTTTTTCTTTTTCAATACACACACACACACACACACACACACACACACCATACATAAATAAATATATATGCATATAAATGCATTTATTGAGTTGTTCGGAGAGTAATTTCATTTTATTTTTTTTTTTTTTGTGTGTGTGAAAATGAAGACAATTGTGTATTTGTTCTCGAAATTAAATATACATTTTTAATATTATTTATATACTAACTGAAAAACAGGAAGAGTAGAAACAATAGGAGGAGGAGAATGTCGAGGTGGAGGTGGAGGAGGATAATAAAAAAAAAAATAAAAAAACAATAAATTTGTACAGAAAATGATTTCCAAATGATGTTCTCGCAATGAAATATAGATTTTTCATTTAATTTATATATTAACTGAAAAAGAAGAAGAGGAGGAGGTGGAGGAAGGGAGGGGTGCGTGGGGAGGGACTGAAAAGGGAAGAATTGTGTTCCACCTTGAAAATGATCGAGACAAAGAAAGAGAAATGTGTGTTTCGAATGGTACACAAGTAGATTTACGATGTCCAATCGCCCATGGCCATTATATCCATAAAACTTAGGCGTTTTAAATCATATCGAGCGTAAAATCGTACGATGGAAAATGATAGGGGGCGGGGGGGGACTTGTGGAAGAAACGTTGCAAGAGAAGGGGGAGAGAAGAWGAAGAAGAAGAAGGGGTGGGTGGGTGAATGGGTGGTCTAGAAGTGAGAACGAGGACAAAACTAAGTAGATACAATCGCATGTAAATTTTTATCATTTACCACCATCATTCTCTCTCTCACTCTCTCTCTCTCTTCTATCTTTATTATTATTATTATTATTATTAGTATTAGTATGGGTGTTTTATGGTATTGATAATGTTATATGATCGATACCAAAAAAAAAAAATAAGAGAGATAAATTTAATTACAATATTACTTGATTTCAACATATGAATATTGTTCTCACATTCATATGATTGTAGTTTTTGATCATGTTAAATGTTTCAATTATTTTTCTGAATAGATAACATGAGAATTATTATTACTGTATTTTAATGATTTCATTTACAATCATTTCTGATCATTTCAAATGTTTCATAAATTATTATATTTATTATCTTATTTAATTATTTTTATTAATGTTAAAATTGCAATACAGTATTTCAATGATTTGATTTTTATTTCTTTTCTTTTTGTGTGTGTAATTTATTTAATTATTTTTATTTATTATATTTTTTATTTTTTTTTTTAATATTAAACCTTTCTAAATATTTGTAGGATATTAATAATAATAATAATAATAATAATAATAATAATAATGATGGGGAAAAAAATTAATAAAAAATAACGAAGCAAATAACTTCGTTTCTCTACATAGTGTATATATGTGTGTTTGTGTGTATACTTGGAAGTATGCAAGTATGGTAACTATGCAGCTATGCAACTATGTTTTATGGTAGAATCGTGTAGTAGATATACTCTAACGGTACAGGCAAGATCGTTGCAACATGTTTGATATTTAAACATGTTTCTAGTGGTTTTTTTTTTTTTATATATATATATATATATATTTATTTTTCTTTCTATTCAACTTTACCAATAAATTAAAAGAGATCTTTTACTTTAATCTTTCACAGATCATATTCGAAAGGTGATGTTGATGATTTTTTAAGAAAAATCATTCTAAATGAAAGGAAATTACAAATTTAATTACAGACAGAGAGAGAAAGAGAAAGAGAGAGAGAGAGAGAAGGAAAATTTAATCGAATATCTCTCAATAAATAAAAAAAAATATATTAAATTTATCTTATTATAAATCATATTAATTATCTTATTTTAAATGTCATCTAGATATATATATTAACTTTATATAATTTATAGAAAATTAAACGTTTACTTGCATACTAGTAAAAAATGTTTGTATCCACCATTAGTGTGTGTTTGTGTGTGTATGTGTAAGATTAAGAAAGAAGGATCACATTTTCTCGTAAGAGTTAACAACACGACTGTAAAATTATTGACCATTCTCAAAAAGTAGAAGACGTGTGTCGTCCCACGTTTCAAATTTACATACATACATATATACACACACACGTGTATATATAAATACATATATATATATATCATTGATCGAATGATCGTGAGATCAATTGATCTTTTTAGTAGTCTCATTTGAAATATCAGTTGAAAGATCTAGATAGGTCATCAATGTCAATTTCGACTCAATCATAATCGTCATCATTGTGTCGTTGTCTTTGAAATATTATACTTAATTAACTTGACAGGTACTTAATTGATCCTCAAAAATACTTTCAATCTCATATATATATTATTTCTTAGATCATTTTTATTTATGTATGCATGAAAGTATGCAGAAATGTAAGAAAGGAAAATTAAGTTAGGATTCAGGATTTGATTTCAGTTCATTTGTGTTTTATTTATTTATTATTAATATTATTTTTATATAAGTAGGTGTATTGAGATTTAGAATTTAGAATTTTATTTGGATTTCATTTATTTTATTATTAATATAATTTATATTATAGGAGTATTGGTATTTAAGATTTACAATTTTATTTAGGTTTCATTTATCTTATTATTAATATTAATTTTTATTCATTATTATTATTATTATTATTATTATAGAATAATATTAGGTATTTTTATATTATATAGGTATTGGTATATTTAAGATTAAGAATTTTATTTAGGTTTCATTTATTTTATTATTAATATAATTTTTATATGAGTACCAATATTGGTATTTAGGCTTTATAATTTTATTTTGTGTTTCATTTATTTTATCATTAATTTAATTCATATATGTATAAGTGTTGAAATTTTTTAGGTATATGCTTACAGTGATTAGAATAATATTTAAAAATAATAATAATAATAATAAATATAATATTGGAACGTTCTCGTTCGATAATTTCGTTACTTCGGTTAGAACGACGCAGCAACGCGTGGCTCAGGCCGATGAACTTTTGCGAGTGCTGCGTCGTAGTTTCGTACTCCTTAGAACATACACACACTCACATATATATATATACATACATACAAATATACACACCCTCCTTTAGTATATATACATATATATATTTTCTTATATGGAATGATATCGATGTTAGGGGAATTTCGTACATGTATTCACATACACCGTTACCATCACAAACACACAAACCTATCCAAATACA